AAATGGCACGGGTAACATCTGGCCCAGATGTCACCCATGCCATTTGTGAGATGTGGGCCACATGTTGCTTGACTTTTGGGTTAGATATGGCCCACATCTCTCCTTGCTAGATAACATTGAATAATGAATACTCATGTAGTCTAAATTGATTTATTAAAACGTCAAAATTAGATAAATACAGATTTAAGAGAGAATTCAGATAAATAAAAATACACGTATAGATATAAAATAAATACAGCTAAATAAATAAATAGATGCATATACACATTCAACCATTCTCACTGAACTGACATCGTTGAACAGAAGAATATAACACATTTATGGAAGTAGAAAATTCAATTAAATAGTTTGATAACCAACTAACCACACGCCAGGGCAAAAAGGTAGTTTTAGAAAACATCAATCCAGAAGGGTGAAGAGAAAACGAGTCCGTTAAACTGGGAGGGGTCAGAACCAGACAGCAGTCCATAGAAAAAAAAAAAAACAGATCCAGAGGGCAATTCAGGAACAAGATCAGAGCCAAAAAGCAGTCCAATACCAACAACCTGGAGAGGAGAAGACATCTTATTTCCACGACATTAAAAAACTGACATGATTTTTGTGATAATATAATGCAGGTATTTAGGAAACATGGCAAGTTTTCAGCAACAGCCAGTTATTCTGCTTTGAAATGTGTGTTCCATGTCAGAATGCCTGTTTATGTTTTGGTCTGTGTGATTGTTCACTACCAGTTTACCCAATATTTCAACTGTTAACTGTCAATATTACATACTGCAAAATTAAATCTTTTCTCGTGCCCGACAGCTTCCATCACTGTCCACAGCAAGCTGGAGCCATCTCTTAACCGAACTCGATCTCCTGGTCTGTTGCAGCGGCGGTTATTCGATTTCTTCTGACAGCAGCTACAATGACACAAATGTGACCAACAGTAAGGTGGCAAAGAATAATGGTTAAATATAAATTTTACATTTATAGGGTAACATTTTTAGCTGACACTAAATATGATTACATTTTAGTATTCATTTTCACAAAGCCGTACCTGTAACGGGGCTGACGAGACGCGAGACGTGTGGATCCATCTGCAAGCTTTTATTTCAGAGACGTGGTATAACAGGCAGGGTCGAACAATGGCAAACAGGTATATGGCAGGCAAAACACAAGAATAGTCCTAGGGCTAGCGTAGGTCAACAATTGGCAGACAGAATCACAGGGGCGAGACGAGAGGGATAAATCCAGAGAAACAGGCAAGGATCAGAAACCGAGGAAACAGGCAAGGCAAGGCAAGGCAAGGCAAAATAAGGAAACTCAGAACAGGGTACAGGCTAAACAATACTCAGCAGAGAATGGTAGTTTGAGTGAGTGTTATATAGTGAGTGAGTGATATGAAACAGCTGTGCAATCAGTGCTGTGTGCAATCAGTGAAACAGCTGTGTGCAATCAGTGCTGTGTGCAAACAGTGCAATGAATGATGGGATATGTAGTCAGGGGTGATATGCAACAGTTTGTGTTGTGCGAGAGTCAATGTAATGAAAGGGGGACCTCTGGTGGTGATTGAACTGAAGTTCATGGACAGGATTCGTGACAGTACCATTAATCACAGTTTTAAAGGAAGTATCCTTGAACGCAGCATTTCCATTTATGCTCCGCCAGTTGGTTTGTCGAGCCATGGGGTTTGTGAGGAGGAAACTCATTATCCTCCAAACACTTTCTTTTGTGGCTGTGCAAACTTCAGTGCATAAGACACTGATTAATGTTGCGCATTGAATTAAAAGAGGTAAGAGGATTAGGGTGTGTGCAAACAGTCGAGTATTCAATCTGCAGTTATTATTTGAAAAACAAAAAACACTACTCAAATTTTACTACGTCTTGCTTTGCTGGCCATGCAGGGAATCCATGATAAATCTAAAGCATGCAAACTAGAAGTGTGTTATAACTGAATGCACTTGGTGGCGCTGTGGAGTGTGTTAACAACGTCATTGTATTTTATCACAGAATGTCGTCATCTATCTTGTGAATTTGGATTTCAAAATGATTTTACTAAATTATCTTACAAAATGGAATAACTTTTTATCAAATTAATCAGTGCAGTGTTAATTTTGTGTATAAATAATTTTCGTCAATGACATTTTTTCACCACCGAAAACGAGATTATAATGAAACCATCTCTATCAACATTTGTCAATGTTAGAAAACACTCTCTGTCTGTATTGGTTCCAGATGTTTTCACCCTCCTTTTCTTCCCTCTCTCACTCGCCCACCCTGTACAGCGCACTGTTGTTTTCTCTTGATTCCCCCCTCCTCCATCTGTTTTCTCTCTCTCTTGTATTATGTTTTAATATCTCTTACTCATATTCGAGGTATGCATGCGCACATGTATGCATTAGCTTTTCTGGGTTCAAATGTTCAAATGAGGACATGATAGCTAGGACTCTAAGGTAATGGGGTTCGTGATGAACTATGAAGATAGTTCAGCATCCTTCGCCAAGTCTATTCCTAATATGTCCATATTTTCCTGTACATGTGGCCATTTTATATAACACATATTCTTGGCAAAAATCCTATATGTATGTCATCTATATCCTCATTGGTTAAAGGGTTGAAACTCCCCTCGACATATGCCTATATAATATCCTTGTATCTATGAATAAAGTTGAAGTATTGAGAATACCATTGAATGTGTGTTTTCTTGCTTCCCGGCCGTATATACACTTTGAGGGACTGAGAAGTTTTCAAGGTGGCAAAGAGAATCTATAGGGACTGATTGTTAATTGCAAACAAATGGGGGCTCGTCCTTCCGGGAATTTCTTAAAAAGACAGGTAAGAAAATGTTTTATTTTTCTTCCTGTCTGTAAGAGAAATTGAATTTATTCTCGTTTGCAATTTGATTGTCATATTTGGCATCAATCTGTTTTCCTCACATTTTGGATGTGGGAAGAAGAGTGGGAAACTTATTCTATAAATTGTGAAAAGTGTACTAAAATTGACGAGACATCTTTGATCTCCAATGGGGCAGGACATCTCCAAACCTATTCTTGGCGAGTTGCCAAGGGATTGGATGTTCAGAAATAATAAAGGTTTTAATACTGAACCGTATTTGAGTAATCTGGCTGGATGGTCGGAAGTCAAAGTACAATTAGATCCTTTTCCTCGTGATGGCTCGTTCAAAGACAAAGATATGAAGGCAGCCAAATTGATGGTGAAGGACGGCTGGGAGGATCCGTCTTGGGACTATGATTATATGAAACAATCATATACTGTGTGGGGAAAAATTAAACCTTATTGGGATAAAGGGCCAGATCAGGTTAAAACGACTGATAAAAAATCTTTTTTTCAAATGTCCCATGTTGACTCTCCCAGCTCGGCTCCGCCTCGGTATGATACTGTTGCAAAGCCTGAACAAGAAAAATTAACTCCTAATCGTCTGCACCCACAATTACCTAGTGCAACTGATTTATACCCATTTGTGCAGATTCCAGATGGGTTTAAAATAATCCCGCTGGCAATGTCTGATGCTGTCGCGATTGCTAAAGATTTGCCAGATCCTTTACGGTGTCCGCATCAATATGTGTCTGTATTGAAGCGTTTAACCACGTACAGTCAATTGACTGGGCGTGATTATCGCTTCATTTTGACTAAAACACTGCCGCCAGAAATTACAGAGGAAGAGTTGATTGCAGAGATTGATGCTTTGAGTCCTAAACGGGTGATGAAACCATTAGATCTGTCACAACCAAAATCTTTCCGAACGTTGCAAATAATTGATTCGGATGAGGAGGATGAGGCATGGGTTTGGGCTGATGTGGAAAAGCTAAAAGAATTTTTCAGACAATTGACTGCTTTTCTAGTGAAATTGTCTTCAGCTAAGCAAGATTTGTCGCATGCTGCAAAAACAAAACAGAAAGCGTGCGAAAATCCTGTTGCATTTTTCAATCGATTTAAGCATGCTTGGACTGAAGAATCTGCCATTCCATTAGATCAACATTCTCCTTTGTTTGTCAATACGTTTTTGAATAACATGCAAACAGAAATCGCACAATTGGTTCGTTTGACAACTTCTTGTCATTGTCATGGGACACATGACAGACAAGACAAGTCTGAAAGTCAGTTCACAAGTTTATGGACTGTCAAGTACTGAGAGCAGAACACACCACTTTTGTTAACAATACAAAGCCTCTAACACAAACAGTATATGGCTGTCACCTGCCTGAAACTATAATTTGACTGCAATAAAACAAAAAGAGCTCCTAATAATGGATGCCCATTTTCTTTTCTTTAGTAAACTGTTATACTCATAATGCTCGTAACAATATTTTACCTTACCCTAAGCCTACAGCTCACACAAAACTACAGGCATTTTTAGATTTTAAAAACACTTTATTCTGTATGATCTGTAAGCTTGTTTCCTCATGGGGAACTAACAAATGTCCCCACAAGGTAAACATTTACTAGAATTACTGGGGTCCCTATAATGTAGTGAATATCAGTACACACACACGCATGCACACTGTTTGATGTATAACTATTTTATACCAGTCCAGTTTAATATGCAAACATAACATCCTCCACATGACTACATGCTAACTTGTCACAATGGGAACCTGCTGATTATTAAAAGTATTTAAAAAGACTACACTTTTGTTTAAAATGTGACATTATTTGAAATCATTTTAAATATTGCTTTTTAGACCGCATTTACACTTTAGATTTATTACATACCCTGTGAATGCTTACATATTTTCCAGTGTGGGCATATAGATTGTTTTTGTTGTTCTTTTTTATTTCATGATTATCTGAAGGGTATTCTGTCAAACCTGCCATTACCTGAATTAATAAATCTGTATTATATTAGAAATGTCAGTCTTTTTAATAGTTTGAGTTTAATAGTTTGACAACTTTACTGTTCCTACATCTCTAATTGCTGTTTGATTCTGGCCATTGTTAAAGTGACGGTTGAAAAGTAGTTACTTCAAAACTGAAAGTACATTATGGGTGAGGTTCCTGAAAAAAGAGAACAAAACATCACACAATCTCAGACTGCTTCTAAGGTAAGATTAATCTCCTCAAGAAAAATCTGTTAATTGTAAATATAAGATGTAAGGCATTTCAGGGCTAATGGGTATAGGTGCTAAAGTTTTATTTTAATTTATGAAGTGATAACTGCAACAGTCATTTATAACACTTGCTAAGAGTTTCTTTTGTGAATGATGAATAATGTTATTTGTGAAAATGAAAATTTTGTTTTATAGCAAAAATGTAATGTTACTGCACTAAATATTGTGTTAATTGTGTTAATATTCTCCTCTTTTTCAGTTACTTTAAGGATTGAAATTAAATGTTCTGTTCCTCAAGGTATTAAAGTGATAGTAATGTTTGTAAATTTAATAAAAAAATATATAAAATCTTTTCTGTCCAAATTAAGCCTAACACTTAAAAATCTGCATAGATAAATTGTTTTGAAATGAGCTCCTGTCATTTTAAGTGACAAAGGAAATTAAAAATAGGTAGATCTAACTTTGATTGAGTCAAATAAGCTGTCACGACTCTGGTAAAGGGAAGGCACATGAAGACGAAGATTAGCTTTTCAAATATTTAATATAGATCCAAAGACAAAGATGAGAGGGTATTCCACAAGCTGTAACACAAATAATACCGGACAACTCAACTGACCAAAGGATAGTCCTTATATAGGTGACTAGATGAGAGTAGCACAGGTGAGCAGGGTTAATTAAATGAGACAAATTAACTAAACAAGATAATGAAATAAACAGAACAGGAACAAAACCATATAAGGGCAAAAGGGGAAGACATACAGGCAGATGACAAAACATAAGTCCAAAACCCTGACAGATCGCCCCCCTCCTGGAAGGCGCGACCTTGCGCCGTAGAAGGGCCAACGATGGAGGGAGGGCAGGGGTTTAGGAGGAGGATGAAGAGTGGGAGGAGACAGAAGGGACCAAGGCAGCTTTGACGGAGGGAGGATCCAAGGAAGAGACTTGAGGGACCCTGGAGGAGTAGACAGAGGGAGGAGCCAGGATGATGACAGGAGGGAACTGGAGTAGAAGGAGCCATATGGCAGCCCACGGTGGAACCAACGGAGGGAGGAGCCATGGTGGAAGAATGGCTGACGACTCCAGGGGGCCGACTGATGGCGGCGGAGCAGGTGGAGGAGGAGCCCGAGGCGGAGAGCCAATGAGCCAGGGGGATGCCGAGGATCCGGGGGGCCAGGGTGGAGCCAAGGGCTCTGGCGACCGAGGCAGAGATCCACGGCGGAGCCAGAGTGACTGAGGTGGTACTGGAGGGAGGGAGGGAGGAGCCCAACGGAGCCGATGGGACAGAGCGACGAGGTGTAGCCGGAGGAGCGGAGTCCTGAGGCCATGGCGGGTCGACACCCGACCAAGGCGGAGCCGGAGGGGCGAGTGAGCCCGGTGGAGCTGGTGGATCGACGGGCGACGGTGGAGGTGAGGGAGCTAGGAACCGAGGTGGAGCCGCTGGGTCAATGGGAGTCTGGGACTCGGAGGCTGGAGGAGGAGGTGAAGGATCCTCCAGCTCTGACGCTGATAGAAACTGGCAGACCCTCTGCAAATCCACAGCATTGATGGTGGACTGAGGGTGAGCTGAGGGGCTGTCAGTGGACAGCGGTGGCAATTTTGAGGATGGATGAAGAGGTGGTGGGAGAGGGAGGTTGGGTGGGATTTCGGGATATTCAAATAAGGTTCATCAGGAGGCAGAAGATCAGGCATATCGGCAAACTCGTCCAGATTAATCCCCGAGTCCAGTTCTAGCCCACACTCAGCGGTGTTGCAGTGGACAGAGCTGCTTGTAGCTCTCTCCTTTTCAACCACTGTTCTCTCGCTCGGGGATGCTCTAGCCGGCTCATGCACCTGGTCAGACGGAATGGGCTCTGCTTCTGGGGCGATCCTCCGCTCATTCACCCTGCACTGTGCTGGCTCATTGATCGTGGTGGGAAATGGCTCTCGGTGGGCTCTTGCAAGGGCTCCGTGCAGTGGGGTGGTAGCGGACTGGGCACTGGGCTGACGGCCATGATGGGTGATGACGGGGGGTTAATGGATTTAATGGGTGATGCTTCTGGGCTGGCGGCAAGGAGACGGGATCCGCTGAGGAACCGGGCCAGGTTGATGTAATCGGGCAGGGTCCACCTGGACCCAACCAGTGGCATCCGCTTTGCGATCCCCTCATCCAGACCACCCCAGAAACAGTCCACAAGTGTCCACAGGTCGAGGCAAGTCTGCTAAGAGCAAGTGAGGAATTCAGTGACATATTCCTCCAGGGGACGGCCGTCTTGGTAAACAGAACATAAAAGGTCTACAGGATCCATGGGGGAAAAAAACTAAAGAAAACACCGTATTTAAACGAACAAATAAAATGCAGGGTAGATCGCTGCTATACTCTGTAGTGATCTGGTATTCCGTCACGACTCTGGTAAAGGGAAGGCACACAAAGACAAAGATTAGCTTTTCAAATATTTAATATAGATCCAAAGACGAAGATGACAGGGTATTCCACAAATAATACCGGACAATTCAACTGAACAAAGGATAATCCTTATATAGGTGACTAGATGAGGGTAGCACAGGTGAGCTGGGTTAACTAATGAGACAAATGAACTAAACAAGATGATGAACTAAACAGAACGGGAACAAAACCATATAGGGGCAAAAGAGGAAGACACACAGGCAGATGACAAAACATAAATCCAAAACCCTGACATAAGCTACAAAATAAATTAAGGGAAAGAGGTGTTCAGGTAGGAGGAAATTGGGAAGGCGGACTGTGGTATTTGATTAAATTTTATTTTGCTGCATTTTGATGACTTGAATTTCTAACTAATATCTTTATTTCAAAATGAAGACAAAGGTGTTGCTAGGATGTGGCTATTTAAAAAATCCAAACCACCCACTCCTCCTCCATCTCCAGGTACAGTGAAACAAACGGGCATAATTCATTCTGGATGATCACTCAGCAAAATATATAGTGTAAAATCTATTATGTACAAAAAAAAAATTTATATACGTCAAAAATAAAATAACCCAAATGAATAAATATAAAGAAAATTTAAATTGACTAAATATTTGTTTTGGTTAAACAGAGTTTCGCAAACCCTGGAGGTCCTTGGACTGGAAGTAAGCTCTGAAAACTACTTTTTCTATTTCAACAGAGTATGCTTATTGTTCAACTCTTGAACACTTTATTTTTATTGGGCAATCACAGCATTCTACCTTACTATATTTTTTGCAATGACCGTGACCACTGTCTTAGGCAACAGATTTCCTACATGCTGGTTTCATGTCTCTCATAGCACAACTTATGAGAGTTTCCAAATAAATAGATTTGGTGCAATTCTATTGAATTCTGTAGTCTTCGTAAATATTTGGCATCTTGTATTTTATTTTGTTCTGCAAGTTTATTAGTTCATGCTTTTATTTCGATTTCCAAAATAGGAGACTATAAGCCTTATTCTCATAACAAATTTCTAGACCTATAGTATAATGTTTCCTCCTACTTTTAAAACTCCCTTTCTAGTGAGGATAAACAAAATCTACTGACAGCAATAAACATCTTCAAACCTAGCAACTCAGAAGTTGGCACTCTGAGAATTCTTCTGCATGGACCACAAGGTGCTGGAAAATCAAGCTTTTTCAACTCTGTGTATAATGTTCTCCAGGGCCGCATCACTACCAGAGCCCTGGCACATGCAGTAGAAACTGGTCAAAGTTTCACTGTGAAAGTAAGTTTAATCTATGTATCCTTATAGTATTAACATATAAGTAAGGCTTTTAAATCTTTGCTTTGTTCTTCAGTGCAAAACATATAAAGTGAAGAAGGACAGCCCTGACTCCTACTTTCCTTTCAATTTCACTGACATTGCCGGAATGCACAGAGAAGATAGAGGAATAAAGATGGATGACATCATCAAATTATTAAACGGTCACATCAACAGTGGTTATAATGTACGTGTATTAAAGGGTTAATTAACCCAAAAATAAAAATTCTTTCATTAATTACGCAGCCTCGTGTCGTTTCAAACCTGTAAGATCTTCGGAACACAAATTAAGATATTTTTGATGGCATCTGAGAACTGTCTGACCCTCCTATAGACAGCAATACAACTGAAATGTTCCCAAGTCCAGAAACGTAGCAAGGAGATCGGTAAAATAATCCATGTGACATCAGGGGTTCAACTGTAATTTTACGAAGCTACGAGAATACTTTTTGTGCCCAAAAGAAGAAAATAACGACTTTATTCAACAATTCGTCTCCTCCACCCTAGCACCATTTTGGAGAGTATCCGCTGGACATAAACAGCGTGTGCTGTTCTGTGTCAGCTGCGTCACACGGATACACTGTTTTTGTTCAAATCAAATCACAACAACGTAGAAAACAGATCCGGAGTGACCCAGCTGACACAGAACAGCATACGCTGTAAACGTCCAGCTGATACTCTCCAAACTGCCGCTACAGGGTTTTGCGGAGGAGACAAATTGTTGAATAAAGTCGTTTTTTTTCTTCTGCGCTCGTAGCTTCGTAAAATTACGGTTGAACCCCGATGTCACATGGATTACAGGTTTGAAATGACATGAGGGTGCGTAATTAATGACATAATTTTTATTTTTGTGTGAACTACCCCTTTAATGTGGAATTTAATTTGAGAACTTTCATTCAAGCAAGTAATGTAAACATGAAGATTTTTTATGAAAGTTTTTTTTTTTCATAAACATTACAATATTTAATAAAACTCTGTGAATGGTTTGAAACTTTACAATAGGAATGTCATGGTTGAAAAACTACACCATTTCAACTGATCTGTTATAGTACAAACCATGTTCAGTTCCATATATTCTTATAGTTTATTGTGTGCATTTGTCTGATCAGTTTAACCCATTAAAACCAATTACCGAAGAAGACCCGAAGTATAACAAGAACCCCACTCTGAAAGACAGGATTCACTGTCTGGTTGCTGTTCTTCCTGCTAACACGGTTTCTATGATGGATGACACTAATTTGCCCATAATTAAGCAAATGAGTGATGTTCGTAAGGAAGCAAGAAACTTGGGTAAGTCATATAGTATATATCGATATTATTCACAAAATGGTACAGATGAGTGCATAAAAAGATAAAAGATCAGATTTGTAATATTATTTAGTATTGCACTTAAAGGGGTCATATGATGCGATTTCAATTGTTTCTTTCTCTTTGGAGTGTTACAAGCTCTTGGTGCATAAAGAAGCTCTGTAAAGTTGCAAAGACTAAAGTCTCAAATCCAAAGAGATATTCTTTATAAAAGTTAAGAGTCAGCCACACCTACCTAAAACGGTTCGTTCTAACACCCCCCCACATATCTACGTCACGATGTGGGAAGGTTTGTATAACGCTGCCCAAATGTTCACGCAAAGAAAGAAGGCGTAACTTTTATTCTCGCTGTAGTATTGTTGCCGCCGCCATGCCATGGAGACACTGTTTCTCGTTGTGAAAGCGAAACTACTCTGGTTGGCCTTCCAAAAGAGGATGATATCCGCTTCGTCATGCCTAGAGCTGATCCGTGCTGGTCGCTGAGGAAATACAT